ATTTAGTTACAGATTTCAGTTTTTGGAAGCTAAAATGTGAAAATTAGGCAAAATACACAGAAAGACAATGGAGTAAAACAGGGCTAAGCACATTGGCGGTACGTTTACAAGATATTACACTCTCAATTGCTGGGTTTGTCCCTGTTTTACCCAGCACTGGGTTGTATTTAACCCAGCATTTTTTAGAGTGTAGGTTTCAAACGAGACGTCAAACATGTGCAGTTTCTTCTCAAAATGTATAAGCTAAACTCACATTTTGTCTCACATTTCTGCCCCAGATAAAATAGTAAGATATTGTAGTGATAAGAATAATCAAACATTTAAAATAAAGCATTTGAAAATATGCTTTACTTTTGTAATTCTACACTAAGTGACACAAGTAGCACAGAAACGTCATACTTCATCTTAAACAGTATGACATTTTAAACAGTCACTTAAGTCTTTATAAATGTTCATTTTCAGCAAGAGACATAAAAAAAATGAATATGTGAGTAACAAGTCTCATGCCCCATGAATCACAAGTGACGGCCCATGGATATGAACTTCCTTACAGTTGTTTTAGCATTTTAGGTCTCATCTTCTTTAGTATTTACAAGCTTTTTTTGGACAATTTTCCAATTTAAAATGTGCTGAAAACATGAATGAATCGCTGAAATAATACAGTGGGCTCCAAAAGTGTGAGACCACTAGCGAATATATTTTATATAGCAAATTATGCAATTTGAGTTAAACTAAAAATGCGCGTGAATTTCAAAGCTTGAAAGTTTTATACATTGCCCTTTTGCTTTAATGACCGGATCATTTTATGCAGCAGCATGTTTAAATGTTTAAAGAGCATCTTAAGTCATATGAACAGTGTGAAAAATGTACTTATTTGAGTAGTACTGTATATATAAATAGTATACAAAGTTTTCATGTGTTGTGTGTGATGACATTATTAATTTATTTATTTTCTTTCCAATTTAAATCAGATTTTGAATCCTAGATTTTGGACCCCACTTAATGTCTTAGTACAGAAAAACAGACAGACACACACACACACAAAGAATATGCCTGTGTGAGTCATGAGATATAATGTGCAACCTTATTCCAGAGGAAATTATAAACATCTATTCTTAAACAAAAACGTGTGCTGGTGATGGTGGGAGGTATACAGTAATTCCTTCTGTGACATTTCTCACGGGGCTTTACTGGGACAAGAACATCATGCTATTATTGTCGTCTGATTACTGTCATCATAGAACTGCTGGAGTGAAATACAGCAATAAGGCTGCTCTTTGATAAAAGACAGTGTATTTATTACCTTATCAAGTATGAACATGTTCAGGTAGGGCATGTATCCTTGTGTTGACACTGGTCCTTCGTCATCATCTTTAAAGTGCTCCTCCAGGGCTGAAGTGTTATGAGGGATTTTCAGGATGGTGCACAGGTTGTGAGACAGCACCTACAGAGAGCCAGACAGCAACTCTAGGCCACTTGGGTTCAATCATCACGTAAAATAAAACAGATCAAGCGTGGTCAAAAGTTTTGACACGCTTGACTGAATTTATGCTTATTACGCTGAAATGCCTGAAATGAGTTTTTATTTTTTTATTTACAAAACTAATTTTAGCAATGAAAAAGTCAATACTGAAATTTTAGTCAGAGTGGATAGTGATGAAAAAGCATTCTGCTTTGTATAGAAGAAAATGTTGATTTATTTAGTCATCATTTTGATTTTCGTATTATTGTAAAATATGGAAGAAATAAAGATAAAGCAGCTTTGGATGGTTACTGTATCCTTTAAGTTGATTAAAATATCCAACTCTGCATAAAGTGCTAATCTAAAATCTAAGTTTATTTCAGTGCACATACTGTACATCTGCATACATACACCCTACAGATTGCGCGGCTCGCCAAGCTTTGATGTGTGGCTCGCATGTAAACTGGCAGTAAATAATGCGATGATATGATCAATACAGATATTTAATAAAAACATTAAAAACAATCAGGACTATGTCTAAGCCATTATAAAAACTCGCACCGTGTCTACACTGGACACGAGCGTCGTGGTGCGACGCGACAAAAGACAATAGAACACATTATAATTATGGCCCTATGATTTCTGCGATGCGGAAAACGCGGACGGAATTGCGGAATCCAGTCATAAAAACAGAATTTACTGTATAACGCGGAATGTCACGGAATTTGTCAAAGTTTGGGTGAATAAATCAAAAGTAGGTCATTACACTTAAATCAAATCGCAATATTGACTGGTATCTGTAAATTTTAAGCTGCAAAAATAACATTTAAATATGAATCCTGCATGTCTCTTTATGAATGAATGGCACAGACGCGTGGTTTCATTTACTACACACATACTGAAGTGTGCAGTGTTTTCAGCGTCTGCTGTCTCGCTAAATGAGAACATAAATACATGAACAACAGTCAGTGTCTGCTCTATTACAAATAATTTATATTTTAAAAATACCCAAAACAGCGGAATTACAAGATGGAAATATAGACTAGAAAGATATTTAAACTTGCTCTGCCCTTACGTCCATGACATTGACTCACTGCGGAGTTGTTTTGGCAATCTTTCCAGCTCTTAACGCCGAATGTGCTCTTATGGTTTGATACATGATGGGCTAATGTAGAAGCAAATAACTTTAATAAAAAATAACTTTTAAAAATAAACCCCTTTGTATTGCATTGCATATTGTATGTTCAGGGATGACAGATTGAGAAGCAGACATGCTATTTATGACTGGATGTAACTTTTCATACTTTGCAGTAAAAGTGGCTCTCCTATTAACTTTGTCCTATAAGTGCGGCTCTCGTGAAAAAAATAGTGAAGATCACTGGCATACACCCATGAGAAAGTCTTGCAAGACTGATCAAGCGTTATTCAAACATTGTAAACATTTAGTCTGTGCCTCTCTCTCGCTCTCATTATAGCCTATTATTTTCTTTAAATATCTGTTTTAAAAAAAAAAGGCCTAACTTAATGTTCAGCTGTCAGTACTTTGTAGCCCGGTATCGAAAGGAAATAATCTTGGTTGCAGAGAGAAACTAAGTTACTAAATGTATAATTGAAAATTGATTTTCACATTATCTAGAATATAATGCCTGTATGAATAAATATGTCTAAAAGAGACACGAGTAAATCAATTTTATGGCCAAAACTTAACATAAACATAAACGACTGCACATAACCCAATACACGGAAACTAGAGCTCAAACAGGTGATTCCTACAGTTGCCAGTAGAGTAGTTTGCTTACCTTTAACTGGGATTTGGATACTTTCCCGTTTCGGTCTACATCCAGAGCAGTAAAGGCGTACCAGATGGGTTTGAGTATTTCGTCCCGGGATAGCATGATAAATTCAGTGAAAGATGTCAGAGCGCCTGTAAAACTGATCCTCTTCCCTCAGTGCGCGCAGCATGAGCGCGAGTCACGTGACATACACTTTACATACATCTCACACATTTACATACAAATAAAACCGTAATGTGAACCGAACGAACCTAATATGTTCCTTTTATCAGTGCTTTCAATTTCGGCGTTGTCCAGCTTAGTGTTCTTTTGACTACAGTCAGTGAAGCGTTTTTTCCATGTGAGCATTACTCAGCCATAAACAGCGCTTAGGAAAAATAACAAACCACAAGAAACCCTTATATTCAATTTGTGCGAATTATTATTGTCAGAGGAGTCGACCTGTTAAGTAAATGCCTTTTGTATGAGTAATCTTCCACACAAGACCGTCACTTATGTTAGTTTGTAATATATTTGCAATGTGTAAATTAATAATAAAGTGATAAATAACCACAGCACTTGTTTAAGCACGATACCATTCGTATGATATGCGCTAAGGTTTCCTCCTCTGCACACTTTTCCGCTTTCTGACGAACTAACTTTTGTGCTTGCTTACTACTGAACTGTTTGCAAACACTGAACTGAAACGCATGCATGTGTAAAAAAAAAAAAAAAAAAAAGTATTTTCTAATAATTTATAAAAAGCTGTTTAATAACGTGCAGTAGCCTATGTCACGCCACAGGACATATCACCACGTGTTTATTTAAACGCAATAATTAGATTGTGTTCCTTAAAACAATGTTCAACCAAACAAGAGCTTTGTCTGCATGTAATCTTTGGCCACATGCAGCACATATATAATGAATCTGCAAGTCTTTGTTAAAACAATAAATGCAGTCTAAATCTATAAATAGAAATGAATGTAGAAATACATGTCAGATGGCATCTATCAGGCCATGTGTAAATGTAGCAGGCACTGAAAACATTTAAAAAATATATTTCCTTTGTTTTCTGCACTGCATTCACAAACTGAAAAAAAAAAAAGGCGCAGCAACTACAGCGCATGCTGGAGAAACACTACTTTCTACTCTGGTAGATTTCCCTAGTCCTGAAAAACAGGTCTGGTAAACCACCCACAACAAACAACCATTGGTATGAAGTCAGAGGAGGAAGTTCTAATGTTTCGCAAAAATGATATCAAGTACTAAGAATCTTTAACAGTCTTTTGGCCTTAAGTCATATTACAAACAAGTTCCAGAGACCTGCATTGTTTTTCAGTGATTTCCTTTTCATATTCTTGAGTATTGCAGTACTGACTACAATATCATTTCAAGCATGCTGACCATTTCTTCATGAGCCAACTTATGAATAATAACCGCAAGTAAACAGTATAGTAAATAAAGCTACATGAATATTTATTGAAGGCTTTTTATAGAAAATATTTTCTTTGATCTATTTCAACTTGACATTATAAACAGATCCTCATAATAAACATTCATGGTGTATGCATATTGTTATTTCTCAACTTGACTGCTGTTTCAACTATTTTTGCCAAAAATATTTTCTTTTTGACTAAAAATTAATGTAGCCTATACATATCCAATCATCCGAGACCACTAGTGAAAACGCAAAAATTGAACTAAAAAATGTATTATTTGTATTTGGCATGTTGCTTTATTGTCAGCAGCACTTGATCTGACCTTGACCTGAGCTTCTTGTGCTTCAAAGCAATCGAAAACATTGTGAAAGCATCACGACACACCAAACATCCCGTTCATCTCTTTTTATTTAAAAATTGCAAACAGGTTTCTGCCTTTTAGATATCTATATCATTATGAACGAAATCTGTTAGAAATGCTATCATAGTGCACAGCTTAACCTCTGTACAATTGTGGCGAAAGGGTAATTGCAAAAGTTCATAATTTGCTCGTGTAATCACTAGTCATACTTCATCAGGAGGTGAAGGTAGTTAATTGGCCAGTTCTGCTGTTTCACTTCCCTGTAATGATGATGCTATTCTCAGAGCCTCTTCCAGTGAAGTCTGTTCATTCAGCTGCAAGAGCAAATACAACATCTGTGTTCAATAATACACACATAGGCCCAGCTAGACAGATAGAGAGGTCAGTGAGTGACTGAAGGCTGGAATAAATTACATGACTTTGCTCAGATTTTTCCCCTTGATTTGCAGTCTGAATGAGTCGATGTCAGTTGCAGACAAGTCCGAGCCAGTCGGCAAGTTTCAAGCAGTCTTGAGAAATTTCACAAAAAATTGTGTAGTGTATGATAGGCACAGGATACTAATTTTTTTTTTTAGCTCGACTCCTAGCAGTTGCTCAAAAACATACATTTATACACAAACCAACTGCAACCAACTGGCCAAAATCTGGCATTGACTTTAAAGGGATAGTTCACCCAAAAATGAAAATTTTATGTTTATCTGC